GCATATATAGGGTGTCCCAGTTATAATAATTAATATTTATACCACAGATTCCTACGGACATTTGGAACATAAAATGTTATAACACTTTTGACTTTTGAAACAAAATAAAAAATTATAAAATTATAACAGTTTTGATGCCGGCCCTGCACAATCGCAAATTAATTACGATTGCCAGCTGATCGTAGAAAAATTCACCTTCGGTAGGTCGGAATCAGCTGGTTTTTGGGGTGATGTTATTGTTTATGTTTGGTATTAAGTTACGGATCAGCCGAAGAAAATGCACTCGCGTTAAGGTCCATAAAAAATTATAAAATTATAACAGTTTTGATGCCGGCCCTGCACAATCGCAAATTAATTACGATTGCCAGCTGATCGTAGAAAAATTCGCTTTCAGTACGTCGGAATCAGCTGCTTTTTGGGGTGATGTTATTTTTTATGTTTGGTATTAAGTTTCGGATCAGCGGAAGAAAATGCACTCGCGTTAAGGTCCATTAGATGACTAAAACATGTTAGAAAAACTACGTACCTATTACAATCGAAAATCCCATGATCGTAAACTGAAGTGGACCTAATGTAGCCCATGACGTCGAGTATTATGTTATTTTAAATAGAAAAGAAACAACTACGGAATAGTTAGAAGCGGTGCACAAACAACCCTCACCACCCAGCGTTTGGTAAAGGTTTGTAACATAACGTACTAGTGTACGAAAACAAATGTATGTGTTATGGTTGTAAAAGTTGAGACAAGATGCAGACCTACTTTGACCATTCACATGTGTTAAATGTTAGTTTTGCCTAGCAGGGCTCATTAACCCCACGTGGGGTAATACAAGGATGTGTCCAGAAGGACCAAGTTGGTTATTTTGTTTTCATTAAATGTAAAAAGCTAAATATTGATATATGCTCTTATAATTACACTGCTGGAAATGACTCGAAAAAACACACATAATGTTGTAGTTTCTAACAGGTTGTTCAGTTCTCTTTAGATTGTTGTGGAATTTACTTGTTTGTTAGTGTTAGTTTATTTATTTAGTGGTCATTTCATAAAAGACTATTACAATAAGGACAATTAGTAGTGTGATAGTGCATTGTAGTAGAGTTCTTATTCAACCGTCAATTGGTGGTGAGTTACATTACCAATGCCTATCGTATAATTCCAAATATTCCCGGTATCTGGGCCAAAATTCGCAGCAATTGGGTACGTCGCTGTCAGTGTTGCATTGAAGCGAATAGCGGACAATTTCAATATTTTTTATAAAAGGTACGCATTTCTTTTTCACTTTTACCTTTTTTTTACAAAGTGGAAGTGCATTCGGCTTCTTCCCGGTAGGTACTTGTTACATCCACACTAGATCAGCTGAGCGACGTTAGTCGCCTAGATCCAGGCCCGTAATGAAACAAATTGTACGTTCAAATTTAGAAAGACGATTTGCGAGCTCAATTGTCACTGGATTGAAAAATTGTGTAACACTTTTTTGTTGTATTTTGTGTCAGGAAGCCATGGTTTTTTTTAATTATTATAACTGGGACACTGTGTATATACCCAACTGGAGTTCGTACAAAAATAACTAAATGTACTCCAACATATTGAAGTGAACAATTATGAAAGATTCCTATTTACATAATACATAATAATCTGCTTAAAATGCGAGCATGTTGCTTTTCTTGTTTGAAACAAAAAGAAAGTTTAACAAGGAAATATTATATGTGGCATAAAAGGTAGTTAAAGTTGTCTGCTTATGAAAAAGAAACAAATCAGACAATTCAACGTAGCCTAATTGGAAGCATACTTTGAAACAACGTGAACAGTAAGCATATACATTCACTGATAAGGTGTGTAAATCAATGTAGGATGTCCTGGGTAAGCAAGGAAACATAGAATAACTTAAAATATTAACATCCTCAATACAATACGGCCTGAGTCTATCGATGATGTTTCACAATCCAGTCCAGGATTTAATGAAAGCCAATCTACTGATGACGAGTTCCAATATTCCCCAGAAAATTTAAAACCACAGTTCTTTACACAAGCGGAGTTAAATGATTTAGTGAGAGAGATTTGGGTTTGACTAAGGAAAAAGCAGAGTTGCTTGGTTCTAAATTAAAAGAAAAACATTTATTAGAATCTGAAATATCTATTTACCATTACAGAAGAAGAGATGAACAGTTTACTCAATATTTCAGTCAGGAAAAGAATTTATCTTACTGCCATAATATTGACAGTCTAATGAACGAATTGGGCATTGAACACAAAAAGGAAGATTGGAAGGTGTATTATTACACAATGGAAGTACCTATGCCTCTTTGCCTGTTGCTCATTCGGTCCATATGAAAGAAACTTACGAAAATCTTAATATAATTTTAGAGAAAATTAACTATACGGCTATGATTGGATGCTATGTGGAAATTTAAAAGTTGTCTCAATGCTTCTTGCTCAACAAAAGGGATTCAAAATTTTTCCATGTTTTATATGAGGAAGTCAGATAAGTCAGGATGGAGGGAGTAGTAGGGATATAAAGCAGAGGATAGCGCAGGGTCGTGTCGCCTTTAATAAAAAGAAGTAACTTCTATGCCCGCGAACGGTTAATTTAGAAATTCGAAAAAGGTTGTTAAAGTTGTATGTTTGGAGCACGGCGTTGTACGGGTACGAAACATGGATAGTGGGCGCGGCGGAAAAGAAAGGGTTAGAAGCGTTCGAAATGTGGTGTTATAGGCGGATGATGAGGATATCTTGGGTAGAAAAGGTTAGAAATGAAGAGGTATTGGAAATAATAGGAAAACAGAGGACTTTATGGAAGTCAATAAAAAATAGGCGAGATAGGTTGGTAGGACACCTTCTCAGGCATGAAAGTCTAGTCAGAGACATATTAGAGGCAGAAACAGGAGTTAGGAGGGGTAGAGGTAGACCTAGATTAGATTACTGTTCACAAATAGTTAAGGATGTGGGCTGTTCTAGTTTTAGGGAAATGCGAAGTTTAGCTCAGGATAGGAAAGAGTGGAGGTACGTGTCCAACCAGTCTTAGGACTCATAACCTTATGATGATGATGATATGTGAGTGGGTCAGTAGATCAACATTAATCCAAAAAACAATGGCCTTTAAGAAAAACTTTGACACCCGGCCAGAAGAATATTTTGCATACAACTTTGGTTGACCCCAAGCGTAAAAGCGACGTTTCGCCTGTCTATTTCAGTCATTTTCAAGCTACAAAATTTAAAATTACAATAGTAAGTTTCCGTTATTCAATCACAACATTTGGCGAGATTAGAGTCATTTTTTACAATTTGAATTTTGAACACAACGAAATTAGATTCAATTAATAATTTAATACAACGTGGATATGCCTGCAAATATGTTACCACGGATTAATGATGAGATAGACCTACGAGGAGAAACCAGTTTCCTAAACACAATCACGATCCAGCTCAACTGGGAAACTACATCCATGATGAAAAAATTACTTAACATCAGGATTGCCTTGACAAAAAGTTTACGTCGACGCACCTTTCTTCTATCATGCAGAACTGAGGACTTGACACCGAACTTCATTGATAATATTAGTTGCAGCCTTAGTCATATCCAGTTCCGTGCCAACAGAAAGAATCATAAGTACCAAAAACTTATGACGATGGTTAAACAAAGAGTGCTCAACCTCCAAATTGAAGACTGTAACGCATATCAAATTCCTTGAGAAAAACATCGTCAAATTAGAAGAAAAACTACGCGGAACCATTTCGAGCAATCTTCTTAATGATTTTAATACTTTTTTCCGACCGAAAATCGATAGAATGAAGTTCTTTTGTCATTAGATGTCACTGCGTTGTTTACGAACATTTCTCAAGACGCTGTTATTGTAAGCTTAGAAAGACGATGGCCACAAATACAACCTAATTGTGACATCCCTTGGAACGACTTTATAAATGCTATTAATCCTATTTTATCATCAACTTTTTTTACTTTCAATGGTGAATTTTACAGACAAAAGTTTGGTAGCCCCATGGGCTCCCCCCTCAGTCCAATATTAGCAGAGATTGTCATGAATGATTTAGAATCTGATTGTTTTGTCAAATTTGATATGAGAAATCCTACATATTTTAGATATGTTAATGACAGCTTAATGGTGCTACCAATCCCAGAAGTGGATAAATTGATAGATGTGTTCAACTCTGCTGATGAACATTTGAAATTCACGCATGAACGAGAGGTAGACCAGAAACTCTGTTTCTTGAATGTTGAAGTGGAGAGAAAAGACGGTAAACTATTAACCAATTGGTATCAAAAACCAATTTTTTCGGGCCGTGTACTAAATTATAATTCCTTCCATCCAACTCACCAAAAAGCAGCTATGGTCTACAATCTCGTTGATAAAGCAATTAAACTTTCTGAAAAACCTTATCATAAAACAAACATTCAAAAAGTCAGAGATATTTTGTCAGCTAACAGTTACCCAAAGAAATTTGTCAACAAACATATCGGTAGAAGAATTAAATCCCTTAATGATAACTTGAACAACGCTACTGTATCAAACATACGCGAGAAAAAACCGATGGTAATTGTTCCACACATCAACAACTCAACTATCAAAATTTCCAGAACGTTAAAAAATCTAGATTTTAATGTTGTAAACTCGTTACATAACAAACTAAACAACGTTATAGTTAATGGCAAAGACAGAACGGTCAGAGAACACCAGATACACGTAATTTATCAAATTGATTGTGCAGATACTAATTGCAATAGTGTATATATAGGTCAAACTTATAGAAGATTAAAAACCAGAATCAAAGAACATATAACAAACATTTCACAAAAAACCGGAACGTCATACAATAGTCACTGAACATAGAATAAACAATAATCACAATTTCAAATGGGACCAGGTTAAAATTTTAGAAAAAGAACCTAATGAGAAAAAAAGATTAATTTCAGAAATGATACATATTAAGAAAAACAAAAATTGTATTAATGCGCAAACTGACACTGATAATTTGAATAATGTGTATTTACCATTACTTACGTGAGACATCCAGTGCTTTACAAACCTTGCCTCTTGACATATCGATAGTTTGACTCTAAACACTACCAAAAACTGACTGTGATAAATTTATTTATTGTTACTATTTATTAAATAAGACAAAGTTTGTTAATATGAAAACCCTTGTTAAAACCAATTGTGATACTAGTCGACATTAGATGCAAGCAATGATAGAAATTCGAGCTTGAAAATGACTGAAATAGACAGTCGAAACGTCGCTTTTAC